GGATTTTGTTTCAGACTTTATCAAAGCAGTGACTCAAGTACTTTTGATCGACAACAAAAAAGAAAAAAGAAACCAGATACAGATAATCAGGATTACTACAATAAAGCTTTCTTATCATTGTCATCAACGTCAAGTGCAATAAATAGTTGTTTGGATAGGAGTTGTAAGTTCAAATTTACGAATATAGGTAAAATATAGTACAAAACAATGATAGATTTATAAGTTATTTTTTTTTTAATTTTAGGTTCTGTGTCACAGCCTGACAACATTGATCTGTTTTGTGAATCATTAAAATTAAGATTAAAAAAATTGAAAATTAAAAGCGACCCACCCCCTCAGAACCGACACCCGATCCTAGAGAAGATTAATATACACTCCGTCCGGGGAATTCTTTCAGTTGACCTGAAGAAGAGCAAACAGAACGCTCAAAAATGTTTGTCAAGCGATATTTAACGTATACGCATAGAGCACCGGTCACAGGTTCCGATAGTGTGACGTCAAAAAAATTGAATGCAAGGGATCAATTCAATGAAAAAAAAACATTAAATTATTAATGTTAGACCTTGAAGGTCAGGAGAAATATTTTACATAATAAAGCCTGTGAATAATAAAATAATTTTTCAAAGTTTATAAAATTGTCTTTATTATTACTAATGAAAAATTTAAGTAGTTTATACTGTATAATTACAAATATTGCATTAACTTATACAAAATGAATTGTTTAAAAAATTTTTTTATAATACACCTGGATATATCTTACTATTCTGCCATGGTACAGATCCTTCATTACAACAAGTAAATAGCTAGTTCATCACGCAAAGATTTTGCACATATGCCACGCATATTAGATCCAAAAGAACAATGTGAAGAATTAATATTTCCATCTTGGCGCCATAAACCTGATTGAAAATTAAAATTATCATCATCATAATCAGAGAAGCCTGGGGGATTGTAAATACTTGCATTTTCTGTCAATATCAAATTGTGTAAAACAAGGGCAGCGGCAACTATTTTTTCTATTGTTTTCTCACTATAATTGAGTGGTCTTTTAAAATTTCTAAAGCGCACCGACAGAATTCCAAAAGCATTTTCTACTATTCTTCGAGCTCTACTAAAACGATAGTTAAACACTTTTTGGGGATGAGTGAAAGCTGATCTCCTCATTAAAGTCTTTTTAAGAGGAAAAGCTTCACCTCCAACAAAAAAATATCGGAATACTTTATTAGAATTTAATAATTTATTTTCATTTGGAAGATTTAATTTTTCTTCTAAAAGCTTTTTTGCAAAAGAACTTGTTTGAAAAATCCCACCATCACTTTCACCAATGCCACCTAGATAATCAGGCCCGAGTGCTCATGGAATAACTGTTGTCCGCCATTACAGTAGTAGTCATATGATGTTAAGTTAGGTGCTCATGCTTACAATCGTAATTAAATTGAAATATTGGGTAATTTTGTAAATAATTTTCTTACAATATTTGGGTTTGTTGTTTGTTTAATGTGCAAGACAGTTTGAAACATTTTATAAATATTAGAAATTGTGATAAGGTCGTGCAAAATGCCGTACAGGTACCTTGTAACACGTTGTAAAGGCATCTATCCGACTGGACCAAAAGTTCAAGTATTTTCATTTCCAAAGGAAACTGAATTGGCCGAAAAATGGAAATGAGCCATTCCTAGAGACAAATTAATTGTCAGCAAAACAACAAATGTAAGTAAATTAATGTTAAACATAAACTGAATTGAAAGGGACCCAAATAACGAAAATAACCATTAATATACTAAAAATAAATACAACTTTTTACGAAGAATAATTCTTTGTTTCAGTCATTTTTTCATTGTTTACACCATCAGCAGTTCATTAAAAAACACAAATACTCACGGAGATGACCTTCCTTTTTAGGCTACTGCCTCCGTAGTTAAAATGTAAAAAATGATAAAAGCATCCTCTGGTGCTCTTGCCACAATCACATAATACATTTTAAGTAAAAAAAAATAAATTTACATGGCCAACAATTATTAAATATTAATATACTAAAAATAAATATAACTTTTTACTAAGAATAATTCTTTGTTTCAGTCATTTTTTCGTTGTTCATAAAAAAAAAATTTTTTTCAAATTATATGAAACTTTTTTTTTTTAAATATATATCTGATATGTACATATATACAATATTTACAAATCCAATACAATCAAATGGGTGATCTGATTTCAATTCCACAAGTATAATATACATTAAAATTCAGACAATTATTGTAGAACATGACATTATAGAAATTCTGAAAATATTTAAAAGACTTTCAAACTTCCACAATTATTGTTTGAGCTTTAAGAAATTGATTATAAATCAAAAATCTTCTGAAGTAAAATATTTTTCATTGATACATTGAAATTCTATAAAAATGTTTCCTCCTTCATCAACTTTAACTGGATACACAGAAGTCGGTTGCCTGTTTTTACTAGAAACTATCTTTCCATCCTTTAATTTCATACACCAGCGATGCCAAGGGCACTTGATGCACGGTTCTCCATCTGGAAGTTCCTCAATTTCTCCAAGATGCAATGGACCACCTTGATGCGGACAATATTCTTTAATAGCAAATATTCTTTCTCCATATCTAAATAATGCAATTTCAATTCCATTTACTTGCACTAACTGATTCTTTTTTTTCTGACATGTAATAAGATAATTTTCTGATTTCAATGACCAGTCAAAAAGATCTTTTTTGAGCCCATTAACTGGAAAACATAACATTTGCACGACTATACTTGACCTTCGTCTTTTAATTTTTCCATTATTGAAAATAACCATTGCTAATAATCATACGTTATGAAAAAACTTTGAAGAGTAATTTTTGAATATTTAATTAATAGAAATATATTATTAATAACGATGTTTGTTTTCATAACGTATATAGTGTTTTTTTTAATGTTGAAAGTAAAATGAAAACTCCACTTATTTATACTTTAACAACCCTGTTTACGATAAATTTGTTTAGAAACAGATTAATCTCTATTATTAAATATATATATAGTCTACTTCATTTTATAATCAACCAAAGTTATTTTATACGATTTGTTCCTTCAAATTTTTTGCTGATTTTTTGGCATTTTCAAGCAGGAAAACATAATATATACATTTTTAAGTAACAATCATTTTCAAGATTTTTTTAAAGTATGAATCTTGAATTTATCTCAAATACTGCTAGAGAAGTTATGAGGCACTAAGAATATGAGAAGCAAATATGAATGTTTTCTACACTTTCAACATCTATTATCTTTTATTTTTTAATAATGTAATATTAGTATAATGTAATGCTTTAGTAATTATTAAAGCAATACATAATTAAAATATCGTTTTAACTATTTTTTGTATATTTTAATTAATTAACAGGTGTGTGAGCAACATTTTCATCCATCTGAAATTGTAAGGACACCAACAGATAGTTCAAGAAATAAAGGATGATCTTGTACCCTGGTACGACCATCTTTACTACCAACAGCAGTTCCATCTATTTTTCCAAACTGCCCAAAATACTCGAGCAAATCAACAACTTACAGAGAGACTCCTCATGTAAAGAGACAAAAGTTGGAAGAAGAAAATCTTCAGAAAGTGTTACAAGCAGGGCTGTGGAGTCGCGTAAAAATCTACCGACTCCAACTCCGGCTAAAACACAAGAACTCCATGACTCCGACTCCACAGCCCTAGTTACAAGACAGTTTGAAAGAAAGAGAAAATTACATGGAAGCTAGAAAGTTATCATCTTTAATTAATTTACAATTATCAATGTTAAATCTTTCCAATTTCTGGAATGTTATTACCAGTCCCGATTCAATAATGTTCTTGAATATTGACCAAAAATCTGCTCCAGTAATAACATATTGTGTTGTTGTCAATGAACATCTTGATTTATTGGTGTTTTTATATAGCCATCATATAAGAGATTTAGGCAAGGACAGTAAATTTGTAACAAAGATATCAAATGTAACTGAACTTGTTGATTTATTGGAATTAATTGAAAAGACAGTCACAGCAATTAAGAATCCAGATAATGTTGTAGTAAATGTTTTAAAGTCTTTAGATCTATCTGAATTTGAGAAAAGGAAGAATGTCAACTTTATCACTGAACAAATGTCATTAATAATTTCTAAAAAAAATTGTACACAGTCCTTCATTTATGATATTCTCATGTTTGCTGCATTCTATTTCACCATGTGCTTACAAATTTATCAGACAGGCTGAATTTTTTATCAGTCCTCATCCATGTACAATCAGAAAAGTTTGTTCTAATTTACATTTGGGACCCCAAAAAGAGCAATGTGAAGACAACTTTTTATCATATGTAAACAGAAAATATAATTTTTATAACCTCATGAGTATTATATTAATCTGTTGATAGATGAAACACACTTGAAAAGAGTATTTTGATTACAAAAATGGAAATTTGGTTGGCATGTCAAATAATGATACATTGGTAACTGCAAATGCAGCTCAAGTGTTCATGATAGCTAGTATATTAAGTAATTTCAAAGATGTTGCTCACATTTTAGGAGTCAATAAAGTGACGGGTAATTGCTTGCATCAGTGGATCAGATAAATTATTCTAGGACTGGAAGAAATAAGATTTAAAATTGTTTCTGTCATTTCAGATAATAATGCTATTAATAGAAAAGCCATGTCTTTATTTACTGATCCTCCAGATGTTACTTTTATGTATAAACACCCTAAAGATATGACTAGAACTTTATTCTATGTTATTAATCCAGCGCATATAATGAAATGTATATGGCATAACTGGTTGAAGCAAAGAGAGCAGACCTCCATGGTTTATCCGACATTTGAGGGAGATGATAATGTCATTCATTATGCTTGTTTTGATACTTTATTAAAAATGTATGATCTCGAACATNCTGCTAGTTAATAAAAGTGTCATGTTTTTACGTTATGTCGATCGATTTACTTTAATCGGTAAGTTGGGATCAACCCGACATTGGTGATCCCGACATAAACACCCTAAAGATATGACTAGAACTTTATTCTATGTTATTGATCCAGCGCATATAATGAAATGTATATGGCATAACTGGTTGAAGCAAAGAGAGCAGACCTCCATGGTTTATCCGACATTTGAGGAAAATGATAATGTCATTCATTATGCTTGTTTTGATACTTTATTAAAAATGTATGATCTCAAACATGATAAATTAGCAAAGTATTGCCATGGTCTTTCATTAAAGGCTTTGCATCCCAATGCTTTTGAAAAACAAAATGTGAAACTGGTATTGCAAATTTTCAATGATCTCACTTCAGAGTCTCTTCTAACTCTAGGCCCTAATCATTTGCTTCCTCACTATAGAGAAACAGCTGTTTACATCAACATCTTCGTAAAATGGTGGAAAATTGTTAATGTTAAAACACCTGGCAAAGGAAATAGGTTAAATGATGATTTCATGTGTCCCATAACAGATTATGCAGACGACATCAAAATTGTATATCTTAAAGAAATGTTACAATGGCTAGAAAAATGGAAGAAAATGAATATAAGTTATCCAAAAGGCTCATTGACGAAAGAAACCCATTTGGCTCTAACACAAACTACAGAAGCACTTATACATTTGTCCAAATATTGTTTAAGTGAGATGAATTGTTCATACTTTTTACCTGGCAAGTTTCAAACTGACCTCCTAGAAGATCGGTTTGGACAGTACAGACAATTAAGTGGTGGCCAATATAATATCAGTATTAGACAAGTGTATGAAGTTGAGAAGAAACTTCGTTTACAATCCGTGATCAGATTAAACTTAAAGTCAGATGTTTTTGGTGCAATAAGCTTCAGTGAAATAAAAGATGTCTTCTCCGAGCCTCCACAAATTCTCAAGGACATAGTGGTACCTCCCTTATTTAATGAAATTTATGTAACTTTGGCAGAAATTGAAAATTACAATGAAGATTTGCCTATTTTGACATACATTGCAGGGTACTGTTGCTATTCCGTACTGAAAAAGTTAAAATGTGAATTTTGTAAAGATATGTTGGTGTTAAGCGAGGTTTTGGAAGATGAAGAATTGTATTCCTTAATAACAAATGTTAGTCGAGGTAAACTCCTCTTTCCTCAGTCTCATGTCATCAGTGTTGTTGTTGTTACATATTTAATTATGAAAAAAATTTGTGAAAAATTTGAATCAGATTTTCTCAAAGTACAGAACCAGAGAGAGTTAGTTACATGTCTCACTTTAAATTCAATTGTCTCCAGTGAATTACTTTGGGAAGGATCCTGTTGTGAAAATTTTCATTTTCCTGAAGATATTTGTAAGAAAATAGTATGGATTTCAACAAACATCTTTTTAAATAATTACTGTAGAAAGAAAAATCAGACCATTACCAAAGATGCAGTACCTAGGAAGAAAAAGATTTTTAGTAAATCCAATTAAAGTTAGTAAAATAAAAGCATTCTATCAAATAATGCTGTGGCTGTATGTTGGTGACTGTTGAGTAACTGCTCGATTTATGGTTATGTGAACGAAAATTCTAAAAAATATCATACAAAATTATTTGAAGAATGACATCAGTTATATTCTTGAACAGCAATAAGACATTTTTTATGTTAATAATTTCTAGGTTAATATTTAGTACTCTTTTTATTAAATATATCAAATACAAACACATTGTGAGTTCCATATCTATTTCTTCTTTTTATTCTATATCAAATCCATTAATCAGCCGAAGCTTTTCGACATACATCTGATGTCTTTATCCAGGGAGAATTTAAAAGTGTAAAATGTTAAAAATTGTAAATTGAGTTTTTGTATAAAATTCTACCTTGGTAGATAATAGAATGAGAAGTGCAAATAAAAACTTATAATTTACTTGTCTATAGTTCGTATATTTAATACACTTATTATTTAATAATACTTTTAAAATTTAAAATCTCAAAGAAAAATTAAACTGTACTTTTTGTTATTACACAACGTTACGATAACTCTAAATAATAAACAGGAGGAAATAATCTAACAAGTAAGTTGAACCCCCGTGCTTCCCTGCCGGTATCGAGTTGTTATGACTACTCTTGTAAGCTCTACTTTCGAGAGCACAGGCCTGATTATCTAGGTGGCGTTGCTAATACTGAGCC